CCAAAAAAAAAAAAAAAAAAAAAAAAAGCATAAAAGAAATATAAACTAGTTCTTAATTAAAATGGTTAACAGTTTTTCCATTTACTGACATCCTATAGCAAACTAAAATATCCCAGCTTACCATGATTTAAGGTTCCATATGCACTACAGGGATGTAATCCAGACAAACTTACTTTTAGAACCAAATATAATACTCCATGGAAAAGAACGGTCCCCAGACATACCCCTGGAAAATGAGCCCACCAAGCCTTACAAGGCCACAGGGCTTTCCCCAACTCTTAGTTGATTTACATATAACCTTGTATATTTGCAATCCAGATAATATGAAGCCAAACTATCATGTCAAAGTTTCTCCTAATGAAACCTTTTGCATGCCAACTTTTGAAAAATATATTTTAAAGTTAAAATAAAAAAGTAAAATACTGCTGTTAAAAGTCACTAGATCTACAGCTATGTAATATACAAGAGAAACAGTCATGGGGTAAAGACAAAAAATACAAAGATAAAGAGTTGCACCTAGCGACAGGAGTTTCTGCTATGGCCACTGAAGAGAAAGGCTCTGAGGAACAACAAGCCTGTGCAGGGGTGGCCTTCCACTGCATCCAGGCCTCCTAGGAATTAGGAAAACAGTCTTTGCCCTCCAGGAAGAAAGAGTCGTGAGATGGACATGTAAAGACACCTACTATAACACAGCACAGTTGAGGATACGGACGCAGCAGGAAGATGGGTATCTGTGAGCCAAGAAATGGAGAACCAGGTGCCACAGGTACCAAGGGTCTGGCCTGAGAGCCCAGCATCTATAGAGGCTCAGGAGAGGAAGGGAGCACAGCAAGGAGAAGGAACTGAAAGATAGGCAGGGGAATATGGACAGGCAAGGGACAGATCACAAAAGCCACGGCACACATGCCAAGAAATGGGAGCCAGAAACAAGGATTCGACACCCACTTTACCAAGAACAAGCCAAGGACACAAGAGAAGTGAAGTTAGAGGCTAAGACTAGACCCAGTCCAGGAAGACCAGAGAGGGTTAGGGAGACCAGATCCAGTCCAGGGAGACCAGAGGAGGTTAGGGACACTAGACTCAGGCCAGGGAGAAGAGAGGAAGTTACAAATACTAGATCAGGCCAGGGAGACCACAGGGGGTTAGGGAGACCAGTCCCAGGCCAGGGAGATCAGAGGGGGTGAGGGAGACCAGAGGGAGTTAGAGAGACCATATCCTGACCAGGGAGACCAGAAGGGGTTAGGGAGACTAGGCCCAGATCAAGAGTAGAGTTGGACATATCAGTGTTACTTCTAAAAAGCATTAAGATAGCCGGGCTCGGTGGCTCAACCTGTAATCCCGCGCCTTTGGGAGGCTGAGGTGAGTGGATTGCCTGAGCCCGTGGGTTCGAGACCTGCCTGGGCAACTTGGCAAGACCTCATCTCTACAATAAAATCAAAAAATTAGCCGGGTGTGGTAGCGCACACCTGTAGTTCCAGCTACTTGGAAGGCTGAGGCGGAAGGATCGCCGGAGCCCGGCAGGTCGAGGCTGCGGTGGCCGGGAGCGGCCACTGCACTCCAATTTGGGCGACAGAGTGAGACTCCAACTCAAAAAATAAATAAATAAATAAATAGCATTAAGATATCAACATTTCTGAACTATTTAATTAAAAAGTAAAATAGAGCAGCTATGAAGCTGTATTTGCAGACCTTAAAAAATTACATTAGCTTAATTCTAAAAGGAGATCACTGACTTGCATTCCAACATGCATTTTTAGTTTTTTGTTTTGTTTTGAGTTGGAGTCTCACTCTGTCACCCAGGGTAAAGCATAGTGGCACGACGAGAGCTCACTGTAGCCTCAACCTCTTGTTTTGATTTGGGTTTTTTTTAGTCGTGTCTGTCACCCAAGCTTAGGAGTACAGTGGCACCATCAGGGCTCACCACAGCCTTCAAACTCTTAGGCTCAAGTGATCCTCCCACCTCAACCTCCTGAGTAACTAGGACTATAGGCATGCACCACTATGCCCAGATAATTTTGGTTTTTTGTACAGCTGCGGTCTCGCTTCTTGTTCAGGCTCCTCTCAAACTCCTGGACTCCAGTGATCCTCCCATCTTGGCCCCTCAAAGTGCTTGAATTATAGGCGTGAGTAAGTCACTGTGTCCAACCCCAATGAGAATTTTTGATCAGAGGGAATGTGGAGCTATCCTAGATAGGGGCACCTTGCTTCCTGAAGACTATTTCAGTCTATGTGCTGTCTTTACAGCATAACACCCCAAATCCAAGTCTGCCTACAGAGAAGTGTGCCATATGTGTGACCACTATGGCAAATGTGTTAGTGAAAGAAGAGGGGTAGAAGG